TTTTCATTCAAAAACGACAATACCCGCCGATGACTGGAACGTGTCATCGCACACACGTTTTTATGTTTTGTTCGCATGTTATGGTCGCGCGAAACATTTGCGCCGGCCCACGCAACGCGTGTCGTTTTGCCCTCGTTCGGCCGCGCGCTCGCACATTTCCGTTGACATTCGTTCCGTGCGCCTTCCACCGCCGCCGTACGCGTTTCGTTTATTGCGACGGTTCGTTACGCGTACATAAAAACTTCGAAATATTAGCCCGCCGCCGCACTGCTAACGACCCGGTAAGTGTCGTCCGCACGTCGCGCACCGTATTTCACATGACCGTGGTCGTGGTCGTACGGCTGCTGCGAACGAGGTTTAACGTAGCGACAGGAAATAAAACGTACGCGCGCAACAACAGCACGTTGTCACGTTTAAATCCGTTTCGTTTGTTCACCTGCCAATCGAACTTGTCTCGGAAAATCTTCTTGGATCAGGATATCGTTGTGCTGTCGTAGGCCATTTTTTTTTTTTTTGCCCTTTATTTCATTATGTGATTGCTAGAGCCCGGATTTTATATGCATTTAAAAAGTGGCTAAATATGCAATTATATGCTTTAGGTACATTACACTTCATAAAATGTGTTTTTTTTTTTTTTTAGAAAACCACACTATTATACCAAATAAAATTTTAAATATTTTATCAAAAACAAAAAAAAACTGATGATATTCACTGCTCTGTATTTCAAGTCATTTAAATCGATCTAAAACATTAAGGAAATTTAAAAACGAGAATACGAATAAAAAAAAAAAAGACTAAAAAAATATATTTTAGATAATCTGAGGTTACCTTCGCTCAAAAAACTAATAAAAAACTCAAAAAAAAAATACAAATTTTTTAAAAAAAAACATTTTTGAAACTTAATACATATCGTGCCTATTCTTGCTCTATTCGAGGCGATTACAAAATGTACTGCAAATCGAAATAGTTCATTTATTAATAACCCATCAAATATGCATGTTATATGCGTTATAAAATTTGATGTTTAAATTCGGTGTGATATGAATCTTGGACATTTCAAACCTCCATAGACGTGCATACACTTAGTACAAACATGCAATTGCATATAAATCCGGGCTCTAGTGATTGCCATTCGAGGTGTATATAACTTAAAATCCGTGTTTGTATTATTAATTTCTGTAATATTTTCTTATATGAGTCTTGTAAATCTAACTAACGCATCTTTACTATTTAATCGCATATTGTTTACGTACGTTACTCTATCCACCTTGATCTTAAATTTTGCAACTGTATTCCGCGCTAATAATTAGTACTCGTTTCCAGTGAATTCCTAATCACATTTTTATAATTCTTGCTCTACCAGTTTTTCCAAAAGTCAATTTTTTTGGAATTCATTATTTCTCACAATGAAATTGTTTACAGGGACAATATAAAACGACATTAACCTATGAATTATACATTTCGATAAAATACGTATACGTAAGATACAAATAACTATGTTAATCTTATAACATTTCAGATAAATCGATATTTTAATGTTTAACAATAGCATAAAAATGCATGCACATAAGTACGTCGTTCACAATAACATTTAATCATAATTGTCTAGGATTTCTATAAGAAATGAGTATCTGTATTGATTATTTAAGCAGTAAATCATCGAAAATCTAAATTGTTTCTCTATGTAATTCAGTACTAATTGTTGGCACAAAAAAAAAATTGTGAAAAGTTAAATTTAATGGTTGATTGGAACTGGAGTAACGTAACGCCAGCCCTACCCGTAGAAAATTCGACTTTCCGGAAGAACTGGTAGAGCAAGGATTATATATAAAAACGTGGTCGGGGTATTCGCAGGAAACGAGTACCGACTATCGGCGTAAACATTATTGTTAAATCAAAAATGGTGGCGGCTAGGGTAGCGTATGTATATTATTTCCGAGACATCAAACTGACTACTAAATAAATAAACGCAGTTTGTACGTGTCCATAAAATACGTTGTCGGACGTCAAATCGTCTGGATAAAACCATCGGCAGATCTTCTTACAGAAACGTGTACTAATACATGATATGTACTTAAATTACCCGCGTACACAGTATTATGATAATATTTTAGCGCGTATGCGATACGATATCATACCAGAGCGCACCACCCGCAGCGGGACGACTGCACAGCGCCAACGCGTGAGCGTTACGGTGTTATTCGTTCTATTCGCTCGCGCTAACAATGGAAATTACCGATGTGTATGGCGCGAAAAATCGTGTTAATAAATATTATACTTTTCTTTCGTTACATAATATTGTTGATGCGTGTTCAACGCGTAAAAAAAAAAAAAAAAAAACAAAACATTGAAGTGATAAAACGATTTCTCGTGCACACGTAAAACACTTGTCGTATTATTTATTCAAACGTTCCTTCAGAGGTTCGATGATATTACCCGTTCGAACGCAACACCGTTAACCCGTTAAATGTCGCCGCGATTTCACGAGATATCGCGATTCTCGCCGTTAGTTATTTCGTTACGATTTATAGCACCGTAACAACGCGAAATCAAACAACAATGATCGTCGGAAACATTATCGTACATTATTGTATCGATACACCTTCCGAGCGCGCTCAGATAGTGGACGGAATAGTAATTTATGCGGAAAAAAAATTATTTCTCACCCAGTGACTACGTAATAATTTCCTTTGCACGGGTATTTTATTTGTATGTTATTATTTCGTTTTTATAATTACTGCGGTAAGTGTTTTTCACGCGACCCGGTCCCCTGCCGCGCGCAAAACGTTTTTTCCCGATATATCGGTAAAGTAATACATATTTTTACCGTGCACGTTACACATATTATGTGTGTATAAATGAATCGTACGAAATACTATTAAATTATTATTATTATTATGTACTCGCTCGCACACGTAGACTTTCACTGTGTTGTTACAAAAGTTCGCGCGTAGAATTGCCCGCACAGCCGTACGATATAATACAGGTTTGTTAGAATGCGAAAAGACGTTGGAAGGAATACAAAAAAAAAAAAAAAAATTAAAATAAAACCGGCAACTATACAGCACGAGGCAGCCGGTATTGGTGTTGCGATAAATGCGTGTAACGTTCTCGCACAATAATAAATAAGCCGTGGTAGTCGGTTAGGTAACGGGTAAGGACCGAGTAGTGCATTTATTTTTACATTTTTTTTTTTCAGTAATCATTTATGATTAAACCGAATACGGCTACGGTGGCGTAAATATAGTTATATTCGGTTATGCTCAACGATTTCAGATTTAGTGACAGTCTAAGCGTCGCGATGTTAAGTTGGAGAAGTGAGAGGTGCGCGTTCATAAGACCTGCAGATTGTGCACAGAGACATGATAGTCAATACTCGTGTAACTGATCAATTTTGGCAAATTCCGATTTTTGGGAACTAAGTTGGCTTTGCGTACAGTGTCGGAATCATTGAGCGCTGCAAATTCTTTTACTCATTTAAAAATGTACAGTTTCTCAGATATCACTCCTTCGTATCGGACAATCACGAAGAAAATCGAAAAAAAAACGTTTTTCAGTTACCATATTTATGTTTAATTTAATTATTTACAAATTACCACTGTGCATAGTTTTTAATAACTAGAACGAATGAAATATGAATGCGATCCTTGCACTTATCTTCTTAAAAAAAAAAAAAAAAAAAATGTCGGCGAAAAGGACAAGCCTGGTCTATGTGTATCACGGCGGATATGCCACCGCCTTGCGGTTCGCGTAGCCGATCCGGTACGATCATATTTATTTCTGCTTTATCTCCGTGCTCGATCGTCGTCTTCGTCGTCAGTCGTTATAAGCCACCACGTTGATTTATCACTTCGCAATACATCATTGTCATTACGAGGAAATTGTCTGCAGTGACCGCGCGCTGCAGCATACATGGGTGCAGCGGTGACGGTCGTCAGGTGTACTTCTGCCGGACAATCGTTGGCGTTGGCGGTGGTCGACAAGCGTCCCGCGCACATTGCGTGGAACGCCAAAACTTGTAAGACTTCGAGGTTTAGTGATTTTTCGGTTTCGTTTCTCAACTGTTTTTTACAAAGGTTCTGGTTTCGGGTTCGACGTTTGTAAAACGCGTAAACGCGTTTTCAAGTCTATAAAAATATAGGTGAACTCTGGTTCAAAACAATTATATCGGTAATTTTATTCTCACGTTATGCAACACTCAATATTTGTGTTAAATAAATATAAACATATATCGAAATATTAGTTTAAACATAAATTTCAATGTTTAAGTTTTAATCAAAACATATATATATATATATATATATAATATGTTTAGGTTTTGAAAAAATATTTTATGAAAATGTTAAAACTATACAAGTGGGGGGAGTGGGGGAAACCATATTATATTCTTCTTTGAGAAATAATAATACAACATATCGGTTATTTTCCGGTTTCTAATAGTTTAAGGTGTTACGGGATAGTAACTCGACCGAATTGAAAACAATTTATTTTTTTATAACATCTTTAATCTCCTTTACCGTAAGGATCAGCCGCGATATCGATGTTCTAGCTCGTACAAGTATACAAGTGAATAATATCAAATGTAATAACGGTAATACGTGTGAATACGGATCGCGCGTCTAAAACGTTATTCGGTTCATGACGACGATCCGCGGTCAACGACAACGACAACGAAGACCCTAGGGACGTTTCTTCGGTTATTAATACACACTCCTCCTCTTGCTCATCCTGCAGCACGGTCAGGCGGATGGGCTATTAAGATTTGTGCAGCGATTAAGATTCTATGGGCGTTGATTTCATATAGCACGTAGGACGAGTAGAAGTAAAAATAAAAGATTTTTCTCCGCGCGCCCGTATGTCTTCGTCGCTCGTAGGCATTCGATGTATTCGAAATCACCTGTTCACCGCAGCGCAATACCCACTACTAAATCAGAAATGCGAAGGAATTTTTTATTCATTCGATTTTCATTTTTTTTTTTTTTCTTTCCTTGTCATTGCAGGAGGATCTCCTCATACACGGTGACAGCGTGTACGACATGATCGATAAACAAGATCATCAAGCCGTACAAACCGAGCTGTCCAGAAGCCAGACTTCCGCCGAAGACCAAGGATGCAAGCGAATGTTTTTGTGTCGTATGAACGTTTCCAGAAATGCCCGGAGACAAATGCGATTTGGCGATCAAAAAGTAATGACAACGGTTATTGATCGATGTGTAAACGTTATATCGGTTTTTTATCCGTACGAGATGTTTACAGTTTGTTTTCCCTGTCAAAACTATACACGATTTACGTACAGTTATTTTGCAATTATTTCAAATACGAATACCTTGTAATTAGATAATTTTCGGATACCGAACTTCATTGCAAAGTACATCCTGGATTTAGAATCCTAACGAATTTAAATCCGGGTTCGTAAATTGCCGGTGGTTTTGAACATTTCCAAAACGGGTTTGAATGAAATCCATAAAACCTATACTTGCCATGTATTCCAAAAACGTAATATTATGTCAGTCGCATTCGTATTCATAACGCGTAGTTAATACAACGTTTGGGCATCTCGTTAAGTAAAATATATTGTTTATACAGTGTACGTAATTATTATTTGTCCAATGCAGGTGGTTTTAGTGCAAGGCCATTACCTATCCTATCTGCCACTGTGCAGCAGAAACGAACCAGTTTTCCTAGCCACCTGCAGTCCAGTGGCGATGCCCGAGACCAGGGAGGCCGTGGTCCAGGGTTCCACGACGGTGTTCACAGCCATTCACTCGATGGACATGAAGTTCATACACGTAGATAAAATGTATGTTAACACTTAAACACCATTAGAGAGGGTATATTGTTTTATTGTTTTTTTTTTTTATTTTTACTACTTCGCTCGTCGTCGTCAGAGCCGGCACGTGATCAACGCGCGCGCGCATTATGCATTCGAAACGCGATTTTCATTTATTAATCGATTTACCCTTTAAACAGCGTCATTGTTAGAGATTAAATTATACTGAAGGCGAGGTGCGCACTACTAGCGGCGGTCATCACCTCGATGGCGAGTAAAAACGCGTTTTGAATAATTCATGCGCGTAATAACACGAAAAAAAAAAATAAATAAAAAATAAGTTTAAAAAAATGTTTCCCGTATCGAACGCAGTACGGCTTCGGTTGTTTCGGGGGGCGCCAATTAAAACGCGCCACAGGTCGGAGCAACAAATCATCACCGCTGCTGCTGCTGTTGCTGCTGCGCATAACAATACGGATAACGCCAGCGATCATTTCGCCAATTATCTCGTTAAAAAACAATTATTGAAAATGCTCTCCCGGACGGAACGCAAAACAGCACGCGGGGAAAAATTTGAACGCGCACCGAAATACATGTCGTTGGACTGTTGGTCGCAGGACCGGTTGTCGGATGGAAGCAGAGAAAAATAATAATAACAAAGAACACGTATTTATTGCGTCCGCAACGGGTACGTCGTATTAAACCGGCAACGAGTGATTAATAACAGTTTTGCGCGCGCGTTGGAATTGGTGCGGGCGGCGAACGAACGATTTGTCGGGTGTCCCCGTCGCGTGGGCGAGGTCGGCCGATGAATACCAAAGCAGTTCGGTCGGCAACAAGCTTTCGTCGCCGCGTATACACACGCCGCCATTAATCACGCGAACTCAACACCGTACGCCGTCCCTTTGCAAACGAGCGCTATTACGCGTTTATTTTCTAACACACGCACACGTGGTATTGTATCGGCGACCGGTCGTTTGTCGATGTGACGATCCGCAGCGTCGCAGAAACTCTCGCCCGTGCAATACTCCTCCCGGTGTCCTCGTCGGTTCGTCCTTATGCCACGACGAATTCTTTCCGTCCAGGATGCGCCCGACGACTATTTCAGTATGCCGACACCTGCCTCCGCGTCATCGGTCGTCGGTTGGACGATTTCAAAGCGATGCCGCGCGGCCTCGTACGCATAACTCCGGTGTCATCGGGCGTGTAGGTATAATGTACGACCGTCGTCCCATTCACACGTCACGCGTCCGTCCGTCCGTACAACGGTGCCGACCGTTGTAATGCTAACGACTCGCGGTCGCAAGTTACATCGGACTTTCAGCGCATCGATGGACCGCAATCCGGTCCGTGCCGCAGGGCTGTTGAGCGGGATTTTTTCGCACAAATCTTTTTCGACAAACTTTTCATTGCCGTACGACGTTTACACTTCTAAACGTGCGGGGTTCGCCGAGAAGTTATCGTTTCGCGAGAGGAATAACAATTTACCGCGTTGCTGTGGAACAGAGGTTCCTAAACTTTTTTTTCCCCGTAGAACGCGTGCTAATTTTTTCCATTTTCGTCGAACCCCGAAATACAAATTCATCTAGGTTCTTTTCATAACTCACACGGAACTGCTCGCCTGAATGGGCATTACTATTGAGTGCATTTTTTTTTAAATAAAAAACGTGTCATTTTCAATAATACCTTCATTTCTTTAATAAGGAAAATATTCAAATATTTTTTTTAGCAATTAAAACGATATGTAATGCAAATTAAATGTGAATTATTACATTAGTAGAAAAAAAATCAAGGTTGGTGTTAAAAAATTATATACATTTAATGGGAAGAATGAGCCTGATGCTTTAATAGTAAATTTTCAGTATCTGGCTTCAAATTAATCAGGTTTAACCTCAAATCTCCTCCGTCGGTGATTTCCAATATATTAATTTTTTTTATAATAATATCGACAACTGTATTGAAACACCTTTTCACGCAGTATGATGGCGGAAAATCAATCAAAAACTTTCTTGCGATTATCCATAAAGCAGGATAAGTAACAGGTATGTCTCTCTGAAGCCAGAACTACGTTAGGTTCATCGTCAGTGTACTTATTCCGATCAGTTTTTCTTGTAAGTTCTTCTCGCACACATATTTTTCGTAAAAATGACGACACGCGTTTTTGACTTATAACTCTCGTGAACCCCTATTTACACAAGATGCACCCCCTCTTCGGGAGAAATTAAATTCTCTTTCGTTGACATAGACCCTCCTTACAGGTCATAATCGACCGCTTTAGGAACCTGTGCTGTAGAATAAAAATGATAATATCGCGTTGTCGCGCGTGCGGTGACCGGGACCGGGTCGTGAACACACATGCGCGCATTAGTCAGGGCCAACTGTTATCAATCGTCGTTATCCGAGTGTTTGAATTGATCGTCGTACCAAAACCACGGGCAACGAACGAACCATTACGGCCAGGACGATATCTCGTGACCGCGTTATAGGCTCTAACAGCAGCGCAAGGAAGTGTTATGTTACTCGCTGCGGGCCACGTTATTCTCTGGATATGTTACCGAACGCCGCGTTTTCGATCGTTGCCAAACGTCCGCGGTGGGCAGAGTGCAGAGCACCCCCTCCGCCCACGATACCGCCGCCGCCGCCGACGAAAAGAAATTATACCAGAATCGGACACACACACACACACACGACTTTCTCGGCGGATCGGGTTATGATTTGTAACGGTGAGAATGATCTAAAAACAAATCTCGCTATCGATCACAAACGCGCTCGCAACGCCTACAAATTCTTCGTTTTCGTTACGCGATACAGCTATCGTACGCATTAAACATATACGTATATAACGTAACCCCCGCGCCACGGAGGACGAGAGAGCACTAGGCCGCGCGTCGTCAAAATCCAATCGTAATCGCGTATAATCGAAAACCGTATTCTCAACCGTTTATCATTCGACTCTTATTTCATAGCAATATTTATACGCGTATTCTGTGGGTATACTTGATGTGCTAAGGAACTGCGCGCGTACGAACCGTATTTCGATTATGCTTTAACACTTCCCGACGTGATCGATTTACATACATACGTGCATGCGCCGTCCTATAAATGTACGTATCCCGTTCGCGGCATACACGTGTGTACATTTTAACTCGAACATATCACGTTCGACATTGTATTTCGTCCGTTTCCGTTGACTTACGTTTTTTTTTTTTTTTATTTGATTTTTTTTCAGAGGCGAATTTCATTTGGGCTTTTCCCGCTCGGAGCTTCAGGGTGTTTCGTGGTACCAACTGTTGCACTGGGAGTGCATGCGCGAGGCCCAGAGCAAACATCGGCTGAGTGAGTATTGTTACGTTGTTATTATTATTATTATACGCCGTAGGGCTGCCTGTCCCGAGGTGCGCACCGATGTGTACGAATTGAAAAAATAAAATTGAAAAAAAAAAATAAAAAACGGTAACGATAAAAAAAAAAAAAAATAAAAAGCCCCCCCCCCCCCCTCGTGATACACGGACGCGTTGCACTGCATTGCGTACACGGATATCGGGTATAGAGAAAAACAAACCGTACAAACTCTGCACAGCCGTAACACGTATTTTGAAATGCGCGTATAATAACAATAATTATTGTCGGTCACAGTTACACAATCGGAACAGGACCGTTCATGCATACTGTTGGCCAGGGTACAGAAGAGGGCCACAGGGGACTGGCTTTGGATACACTGCGTGTTGCAGGTCAAAGACAACATGGAAAACAGCCAACAGCCAGTCATCGTCAGCACGAATCAAGTACTTACGTAAGTAGATGTCGATGTTGTTTGTTCGTTGTTGTTGTTATTATTATTATTATTAATGTTGTTCCGCCATTATTGTTGCCGTACGTTTCTTTGTACATTTATTTTATTTTTTTTCTTCTTCTCTCCGTCATTGTATTGTTTTCCACCTCTTCGTCGTTGCTGGCACATTTGTCGCGTTCGAACCGTATATCCATGGTCTGTCGTACGTCGCCGTACGCATGGTTAAATACTCTCAACGGCCGTAATACGTACCCGATGTACCGCGCTAACCGCTGTTAACGCGACATAACCGTGCACCGTAGGCCGATACGTAATATTTACTTTTACGCTCTTGATTTATTCGTCCGAGAATAATCCTCTTGAATCGTAACGATATTTTAAAACAGAAAACACTGTTATTATTAGTGCATAGTTTGAATCCCATCTGTTCTGTATATACGTATGTGTTTATTACCAATATGTCTAGCTTAAGCGCGTGTAGATAATAATTAAATAATAAATCAAAAAAAAATGGATCAATGACCATTATGCATTTCATCAGATCTATACTAGATTATAGACATCGTATTGTTTTCGACCCATATTTTAACAGAACCGGAATGAACATAAACCTTATTATTTTATTGTAATCGGAAAAGAGAAATCAGAAACTCTTTTACAGGTGCAATTGACGTGTAAAAACATTAATAATATGCATTGAGCAGCACGGACAACGTTTAAGACTAATAACAATGTATCAAAACTGCAGATATTACTCAATTTGTTACGTGAATGATTGTACATTTTCTCATAAGTATTAATTAATATTTCATATTTAATACGGGTTTCGTATGTACCGTTGTACTCGATGAAAACCTAAATTTACTGCGATCATATGTTTAGAGATTAATCTGGTTAATGTAGTCCGGTTGAAACGAATAACTTATAACATAACCGTACTAACATCGGATATAAATATAAAAACAATATTAATATACGGTTTAAGCAGTTTCATGAAAAACTTGAAGTTTTATTCGGGAACAGAAATTCATAGGTATATCGGAAAACACCTATATTTTATACATAAAATAAGTGATGTATTATTCATAAGCAATACGACAAAATTTATCTCTACTTGACGTGAGAATATTGTGCACTGTACGTGCGCCTATGAACCATAGTATCTGTGAGATTGAACTTTTGATTTGGAATTTCGATAACGGAAACCGACGGGTAAATCGTTAAAAAAAATAAATATTGCTTGGACAAGTGAACTCGGATGAATCAAATAACCAATTTTGAAATCTAGTGCGCGAAAAACCCCGTCTAGTTTCGATTCGCGGTGTCATCGCAGGGAGGATTAACATACAATAGAGATACACATTTATGTTACGGGTTTTTTTTTTTTTTTTTCGAGACGAAGTTAAAAATACGCATATAAAACACGTTTACAAGTAGAAAATATGCAATATCCCCCAGTTGCGTCCGCACGGACGTATTACACGTACAGTTGTTGACGTCTGTTAGAAGCCGTCCGGGCAAAATATAGCCGGTGTTCGTACGGATGACAGAGTCACCGCCTTCAAAGCCATTAGACGTGACCGCGGCGGAGACCCTTAACCGTTTTTTCTCCGCGCGCGTGTTATAAAATAAATGACAACGTTATAACTAGTGCAGACCGTTTGACAGAGCACAAGCAATTCAAGAAAATTTATCGAAACATGTAAACACTTTTAAAAAAACGTGTTCACGCGCGAAACGCAAGTGGCGTTTAAACACGTGTCGATACGTCGCGCTGTATACGTATTTGAGTTTATTGGTATCGATTTGTGGTTTGAAAAACGTTCAGCGTGTTTTATGACGTGATAAAGAATGAAAAGAAAAAATCCGTAACGCGTGAAATGGAAATAACAATAATTCTGTAATAATAACGATTCTACGATTAGGCCGGATTGCGAGGAGAGGGAATGGATGTATACATAAAAAAAAAAAAAAAAGGGAAAAAACCCGTAGACGTTAATGGTCGATAATAAAGTTAACGAGTCACCGGCGGTCGCCGGCGGCGTGCACTGGTGACAAATTACCGGCACTAATAACATCGCAACACCACGGAAGCGAGTCGAAATCACCGCCGTCGGTTGGTCGTATCCCACTACAACGCTGTACGTGTGTACAATATTATGCGCTGCCGTCGTTGTCGCGGCCGCGCTTAAAACCCCTAAAACGGTCATTCGTCCGGTACAAAAAAAAAAAAAATAAAATAAAATAAAATGTATTGTCATTTCCGAAACGAAAAACAAGCCCACGCGATGTCTTTTTCCTGTTACCGAATCGTTAACCATGATTAATATTTTTCATACGACCTGACCGTCACAGCTGTTGCTGTCACCGGTATTTTGGTCAGTAAATCGCCTTAACAATTTCGCCCGACGTTTATTGATCGTTTCCAGTTATTTCGCGATCGACTATTCGACTCGCGATTTCCGTTACACCGAAAAATGTCCTATGATTAACGTGCATGAAATACTCCGGTGTCTAGATACCGCTTCCTCGAATTCGCCCTTTGAAAAAACGATTGCTTGTTTCAATAAAAAAAAAAAAAAAAAAATCTTTAGTTGCTCGTACCAACGTATGCGATAACAGCTCTATAGATACAATCGATTTATAATACATTTCTTATCTGTACTATCGTAATTTTTACGGCTTCACGAACAGAACAAGACATTGGATTTTGCGTGCTCTGCGGGTGACCGACCATACACCTTCGCTTAAATGTGTTATCGTTTAATCCTACTTAAAAACAAAGTTCCGTCTATCGTTACATCGTGCGGCAGTCTGTTTCTTTTGTCTCTAAGACAATAATTGACCGACCCGGGTCGACTTACGAATTGGGCGGTGAAAAACTATCGACCATCTGATTCGGGAAGACACAGCGAGTCGGTATAGCAAGGTATACCTGATCCGAGTCCGTATTGATGTGAGCCAACACTCGACCACTTCGTAAATAAAAGCTATTATTCCATACTATGCTATGCTACGTTTTTAGTTGTAATCGATCGATTTTGTTTGATTTTTTTTTCATTCTCCTTATCTAACAATAATCGTGCAGGTTGCTCCGTCGTAAGAAATTTTTGTTGCTACGCTGGACTTTAGTATTGCAAACATGTCAATGTAACTTTTACGTTAACTTAAACTTTGGCGTTATAAACTTGATACGGGTCCAGTTGGCGCGAGCCGCATTTATGTATGATAATTATTATTATGTATTTATTAAATATTTATCACTTAAAGGCAGTGGCATATATAGGTTTTTATTTCGGAGGGGGTCGATGATTATGTATTTGATTTTTGGAGGGAAGGGAAGGGGAAGCACACTATTACGACAAAAATTACTTTAACACTGTAAGACTTCTCGACTGTTTTTACACCATCAGAGAAATAAGAAACTCAATTTTTTTAATGATTTATAATCTTTTAAAAGTATAAAAACTACATAGTTATAAACAATTTTTTTATTAGAGTCATTCAAAATTCATCACATATTTTCTTAAAAAAATAAATAAATTTTATAAATATAAAATATTAAGTTATCGCATAAGCAACATTCTCAGTGTCGCCACACATTTTCGGAAACACCCAGTGTTAAAACATATCCATATTAAAAATAACAATCTTTAACAATGGTGTTTTTCATTTCGGAGGCGGCCTGGGCTTTCTCGCCTCCCCTCCCCCTCCCATAAATATGTCCCTGCTTAAAGATCATTGAATGATTATTACTTGTCACCGGAAAAAATAAGATTTAGACGTCTGTGACAAATCGTTCAACCTATACTAATTAAATAAAAAAAAAGAAATGTTTAAATTATAATTTGATATGCTATGTCTCATTAATTATGACGTTAACGCGATGCCACCAATTGACAAGTTGACAACACGACAAATCGTACACCGATTTTATAAAATAAACACACATACATATTAATTATAAAAGAAACGCAAATTAAAAATAAATAGGTATCTTTGAAAATGCACGAATATCGAATGAAAAATATGTATTAATAACTCATAGACTTGGGTAAAGTTGTATTAAATAATAACATTTTACAAATAACACGTTTTAGCACTTTGTATTACTTGGAAATAAAAACAGCAATTTTCAATTAGTAGTTAGGTACACCCATTAAGGATTTTCAATAACATAAGTGCGGTAGCTTTAATAAATCTCAATTGCATTAAAATGACCGGCTCCCGTTATAAAATTTAATGCAGAATAATGTTTAGAAAAAATAGAAAGTAACTTTAATCGAAACACATTTTACGATAAAAACCAAATAAGATGTATAATTATTCGACTTCGAGCATAAATAACTGAACAAATCATTTACTTTATGTTAATCAAAACAAATCATGAAGATATAAATGTATAAATTACATAGTGCAACGGCGTACATAAATTTTTCGAATACTTCGGTTTTGATATCTGAAATAAAAAATACATTAAATAGGCATTAAAGAAGTAGTGGATACTGTACGTGTAGGCACGTAAATTCATCGTTAAAAATAAAAACCAGTTAATAAATTATGCGTCTATTACATAGATAGTAAATGTACCTACATTGTAGTATATAGATACTCATTGGGAACACGCGCAATAAGTTTGCATATTTTATTTTCATTTTTTATAATATACGAAAACGAAAATTGCTTCGGTATTACATCGACCGGAAAAAAAGGTTAGCCGTTCCTTTCCACAACTGGTCCCAGTGGAAAACTACAATGCACGTGTTGTTATAATGATTCGCACGCGGTCATCTGTGTAGTTTTACACAGTACCGCTCGCAGAAACCGCCGTGTACAACGTCGTAAACGTACGAGCACCGAGCGACATCGTTGCTGGCAGCTGCTCCGGGTAAGACGTTCGAAAGCAAACCACGATTCGTGTGTACGCGAGTCAATATACGTTCGTAGAGCTCGAAAACCCTTTTGCCCGTGGGAAAATCGTACGAAAAACTTTCGCGTTC